CACTAAAATGAGATCAAATAAGGAATATTCATGACATTAAGTGAGAAAGATATGGAACTATTTCAATTTGCATCCGCTGATTTATTTGCCTAAATTTATTGTTGAAAAGTGAATCTGGTGTCATTCAAATTATTAATTGAAGAGTGAAAGATTAAGGGATTGAATGGCTACGACCATATCACGATGAACGCACCTCATCCCGTCCGATTTGAGAAGTTAAGCATCGTCGAGCCACATCAGTACTGAGGTTGGAGACAACTTGGGAACATGTGGTGCTGTAGTCTTTTTTATTCCCGTTCAGACTTAAACATCTTTTTCATTCTCCTTTAAACCTTCTTCCTTAATTAATTTTGGCTTTTGACATTTTTTACCTTGCAACTTGATTTCACTGCATCTTGCATGGCTCCATAAGAGGATAAAAAAAGAATAAAAATTAGCTGACATGAATTCAATATTAATAATTATTATATTTCATTAACGTAACGAAATTTCTATTTCAGTTTCCAAAAGCATTTAATTTGCTTTAAAATTACAATCAAATCATCTTTCATTCCTTCAATAATTCCAACTATTTTGAAACATTCTATTGGTATATGATTTTGTGTGAAACTTGGGGATGATTATCCCACAAATAACACATGTAATTCTCCCACATTCATATTACCAATGACATGCACACGATATAAAAAACTACGATAGTTGACAATGAGACAGGGCAAATACTGCCAATATCTCTGTGTGAAATTCCGATCAATACGGATATGCCTATTACAGTGAGTGGTGGGCACCAGTATCAGAGATATGTCACTCCTACGAAACCAAATAGGGACTTGAGAAAATTTAAATGTTGTCCTCCTCTCGGTATTAAACTTGTTAAGAATCATGATGTGTTGGCTTGTTGAGGTTCTTGGACCAGATGTTAGAATGTTGTCCGAGATTCAAGTCGCATTGAGCACAATGTCAGTGATGTGGAAAGATGTTTGATTAATAATACTACCAACTCATGTCTTTGAGATTTTGCTCCCCCTTGATTACTAGCATGAGCAATTATAATGAATGTGTCCTTAATATTTCTCATGTTCATGTTTACATGCATTCATATTTACATGTATTCAAGATGTGTTGAATGCATCCAACATCAACATGAGTTGTAACATGGCAATTATCACACATTTCGTTCCAGATAGAGAGGACTGTACAACGCAACATCTTTA